CACATCCACTGCTTTCCCCTCATCCACAGAGCCAGTTATCTCATCATAGAAGGCAATTAGGTTAGTCAGGCATGACTTCCCCTTGGTGAATCCATGCTGACTGTTCCTGATCACTTTCCTCTCCTCTAAGTGTTTCATAATTGATTCCTTGAGGACCTGCTCCATGATTTTTCCAGGGACTGAGGTGAGGCTGACTGGCCTGTAGTTCCCCGGATCCTCCTTCTTCCCTTTTTTAAAGATGGGCACTATATTAGCCTTTTTCCAGTCATCTGGGACCTCCACCGATCGCCATGAGTTTTCAAAAATAATGGCTAATGGCTCTGCAATCTCATCCGCCAACTCCTTTAGCACCCTTGGATGCAGTGCATCCGGCCCCATGGACTTGTGCACGTCCAGTTTTTCTAAATAGTCCCAAACCACTTCTTTCTCCACAGAGGGCTGGTCACCTTCTCCCCATACTGTGCTGCCCAGTGCAGCAGTCTGGGAGCTGACCTTGTTTGTGAAGACAGAGGCAAAAAAAGCATTGAGTACATTAGCTTTTTCCACATCCTCGGTCACTAGGTTGCCTCCCTCATTCAGTAAGGGGCCCACACTTTCCTTGACTTTCTTCTTGTTGCTACCATACCTGAAGAAACCCTTCTTGTTACTCTTAACATCTCTTGCTAGCTGCAACTCCAAGTGTGATTTGGCCTTCCTGATTTCACTCCTGCATGCCTGAGCAATATTTTTATACTCCTCCCTGGTCATTTGTCCAATCTTCCACTTCTTGTAAGCTGCTTTTTTGCGTTTAAGATCAGCAAGGATTTCACTGTTTAGCCAAGCTGGTCACCTGCCATATTTACTATTCTTTCTACACATCGGGATGGTTTGTTCCTGCAACCGCAATAAGGATTCTTTAAAATACAGCCAGCTCTCCTGGACCCCTTTGCCCTTCATGTTATTCTCCCAGGGGATCCTGCCCATCTGTTCCCTGAGGGAGTCAAAGTCTGCTTTTCTGAAGTCCAGGGTTCGTATTCTGCTGCTCTCCTTTCTTCCTTGTGTCAGGATCCTGAACTCGACCATCTCATGGTCACTGCCTCCCAGGTTCCCATCCACTTTTGCTTCCCCTACTAATTCCTCCCTGTTTGTGAGCAGCAGGTCAAGAAAAGCTCTGCCCCTAGTTGGTTCCTCCAGCACTTGCACCAGGAAATTGTCCCCTACACTTTCCAAAAACTTCCTGGATTGTCTGTGCACCGCTGTATTGCTCTCCCAGCAGATATCAGGGTGATTAAAGTCTCCCATGAGAACCAGGGCCTGCGATCTAGCAACTTCTGCTAGTTGCCAGAAGAAAGCCTCGTCCACCTCATCCCCCTGGTCTGGTGGTCTATAGCAGACTCCGACCACGACATCCCCCTTGTTGCTCACACCTCTCAACTTTATCCAGAGACTCTCAGGTTTTTCTGTAGTTTCATACCGGAGCTCTGAGCAGTCATACTCCTCTCTTACATACAATGCAACTCCCCCACCTTTTCCGCCCTGCCTGTCCTTCCTGAACAGTTTATATCCGTCCATGACAGTACTCCAGTCATGTGAGTTATCCCACCAAGTCTCTGTTATTCCAATCGCATCATAGTTCCCTGACTGTACCAGGACTTTCAATTCTCCCTGCTTGTTTCCCAGGCTTCTTGCATTTGTGTGTAGGCACTTAAGATAACTCATCGATCGTCCCTCTTTCTCAGTATGAGACAGGAGTCCTCCCCTCTTGCGCTTTCCTGCTTGTGCTTCCTCCCAGGATCCCATTTCCCCACTTACCTCAGGGCTTTGGTCTCCTTCCCCCGGTGAACCTAGTTTAAAGCCCTCCTCACTAGGTTAGCCAGCCTGCTGGCGAAGATGCTCTTCCCTCTCTTCGTTAGGTGGAGCCCGTCTCTGCCTAGCACTCCTCCTTCTTGGAACACCATCCCATGGTCGAAGAATCCAAAGCCTTCTCTCCGACACCACCTGCGTAGCCATTCGTTGACTTCCACGATTCGACGGTCTCTACCCAGGCCTTTTCCTTGCACAGGGAGGATGGACGAGAACACCACTTGCGCCTCAAACTCCTTTATCCTTCTTCCCAGAGCCACGTAGTCTGCAGTGATCCGCTCAAGGTCATTCTTGGCAGTATCATTGGTGCCCACGTGGAGAAGCAGGAAGGGGTAGCGATCCGAGGGCTTGATGAGTCTCGGCAGTCTCTCCGTCACATCGTGTATCCTAGCTCCTGGCAAGCAGCAGACCTCTCGGTTTTCCCGGTCGGGGCGGCAGATAGATGACTCAGTCCCCCTGAGGAGGGAGTCCCCGACCACCACCACCCTCCTCCTCCTCTTGGGAGTGGTGGTCGTGGAACCCCCATCCCTAGGACAGTGCATCTTTTGCCTTCCAATCGGTGGAGTCTCCTTCTGCTCCCTTCCCTCAGATGGGTCATCTAGTCCACTCTCCGCATTAGTACCTGTAGAGAGAACATGGAAACGATTGCTCACCTGTATCTCCATTGCTGGTCCATGGACGCTCCTCTTTCTCCTTCTGGTGGTCACATGCTGCCAAACTTCTTCACCATCCTGTCCCTGCTGTGGCTGCTCTGAATCTTCAGAACATTGTGGCGGTAGAAGCATCTCCTGACGTCTGTCCAGGAAATCTTCATTTTCCCTTATGCAACGCAGAGTCAATACTCGTTTCTCCAGACCTCGAACCTTCTCTTCCAATATGGAGACCAGCTTGCACTTTGTACAGCCATAGTCGCTTCTGTCCTGTGGAAGAAAGACAAACATGGCACAACCTGTGCAGGTTACAACAGCTGATCGCTCACCTTCCATATCACCTTCCTCTTAAGAGCTTCCTCAGCTGTTGCAGGAACTACTCAGAGAAACCAGCAGATGAAAGCCTCAGTGAGCTCTCTCCAGGCGAACTCCCAGGCACACTCCCTCTGTTAGCCTCTGCTGTTCGCCGCTCTCAGGAGCCACTCTCAGGTTGACTTACCTTACTCTTCTCGGGGAGCTGGACTACTGGAGTCGATTGGAGAGCACTCTGCCGTCGGTTTAGCGGGTCTTCACTAGACCTGCTAAATCGACACCCGCTGCATCGATTGCAGCAGCATTGATCTCCCCAGTAGTGAAGACAAACCCTTAAGCCAGTGGTTCTCAACCTATTTACCATTGTGGGCTGCATATGTGGCCCACAATGCGTTATGTGGGCCGCATCCAATACTACCTCTATGGCCCTGAGGATATCACATGGGCCGCAGCACAAGTGGCCTGCGGGCTGCAGGTTGAGAACCTGTGCCTTAGGCCCTGTCTACGCTAGAGAGCTTACACCTGTGTTGCTGTAAGATCTCCCATGTAGCCACTCTATACTGACAGGAGAGAGCTCTCCTATTGACATAATTAAACCGCCCCAACAAGAGTGTCTCCAGCCAACATAGTGCTTTCCACACTGGCGCTTCTGTCGGTGTAACTTATGTCATTCACCATGTGTTTTAGTAGTCATAGCCTATGAGTCTTCAGAATTTGAATGGGCTACATAAATACATAAAGTGGGCTAGATCTTGCCTGTGGGCTAGGTGTTTGACACCTGATTACTAAAGTATATATTACAAATAAGTGTTCCTGTGCTCGGGGGGGAAGTTTAGCTGACTGGAAGTAAACTAAAACTGACTAGAACTCAACTAAAGGTTTCCCATTTCACTGATGTAGTACACTTAAATATCTTATTATGGCTCAGTTTTGCAGAAATAAAATTAGAAGAGGAGTTTCTGGAGGGGAGAGAGGAATAATTTGTTTGCCTGTGAAAGGCTGCTAAAATTGAAGATTGCATCAATAATGGAAGTCAGTGGGCCAGAGAGCAAGAATGATTCTACAGTCCAGTGGTTAAAGCATCTAGTTGGGAGGAGGGAGACCTAGGAGCCAATTCCTCTGCTCCAATGACTTTCATTTTCTCGTATCAGAGGGGTAACCGTGTTAGTCTGGATCTGTAAAAAGCGACAAAGAGTCCTGTGGCACCTTATAGACTAACAGACGTATTGGAGCATAAGCTTTCGTGGGTGAATACCCACTTCGTCAGATGCACAACGTGTCTGACGAAGTGGGTATTCACCCATGAAAGCTTATGCTCCAATATGTCTGTTAGTCTGTAAGGTGCCACAGGACTCTTCGTTGCTTATTCTTACCTGAAAGGCCTTAGGTGCCTAAGCCATCTGGCTCCCTTTGTGGATCACTGAGCAGCAATATACACCTACCTCTGAGAGGGGGCGTTGGTTAGAACCCCCCCTCTGCATCCGTCTTTGGCTTGCTTAAGTGACTTCCCACCTAAAGGATCACATCCCTTGATGGATAGGGCCTTAGTCCCTGCTGCGGCTGTTCAGGATATACTCTCCTGCGTAACTGCCGTGTTTTCAGGTCTGTGGGACTATTGCTACTGTTGCTCTCTCAGGTTTTTGGGGTGGGAGGGATAGGAGGTGTTGCTATCACCTTCTGGGCTCTATGGGATGGAATGTGTATGAGGGTGCTGCTGAGGTGGTTGGGGAAAGCGCTGAGTGACCGTCCGTCACTCTCTGGAGGAGAGAGGGGTGCTGCCCTTGCCGGTCGCTGAGTGTGTGGCATGAGTTAGGCCAGGGGTCGGCAACGTTCGGCACGCGGCTCGCCAGGGTAAGCACCCTAGATGGCCCGGCCCGCTAGGGTGCTTACCCTGGCGAGCCCTGAGTTAGGCTATGCCCCTGCTGCTGGACATTGCGCTGATGTGGATTCATTAACGCTGTCTGATAGATCATGGGGTTTAAATCGATTTTTATTGACCCCCTCACGCTGAGTGTGTGTGACGCACCTGGAGCTTGAGGCAAGCGGCTGCGGTGGCTGCTGCCGCCGGCAGAGGCAGAAGGGCTGAGCCGGCCGTGTGGACGGGCGGGGGCGCGGCGGGCGCTAAGACCCGGGGGACGCATCGCTCTTAGGACCAGCCTGCAAATTCAGCGTGAGTGACTCAGTTCGCTCAGCGCACGCACGGCAGGCGGCGGTGGCCAGGGCTAGGAGCAGGTCAGTGCTACTCGCCTTGGCCTGTTGCAGCTCTACTGGGGGGAGGTCGCGGCGCGCGCGGGTCCGCCGCTCGGCACGTACGTGCGCGCGTGCTGGGGCGAGAGCGGGCCGCGCTCCGGGCGCAGCCTCCCCTGCGCTCAGGCCTGCAGCGCTAGTAACTGCGGCCGCCTGTTGTCTGTGTTTTGCAGCGACCCAAGATGGAGTATGAGTGGAAACCCGACGAGCAGGGGCTCCAGCAGATCCTGCAGCTGCTCAAGGAGTCGCAGTCCCCGGACACTACCACGCAGAGAGCTGTGCAACAAGTATCCTTGGCCGGGGCCTACCGCGGAGCTGGGGCCGGAGTCGCTGCGTGCCGCGCGGAGGCCGAGCCAGTCGCGCAGTTGAGCGCTGGTTGCTGTTTCCACGGGTTCCGGCTCCGCTTCTTCCTCCGTCTCGAGGGGGAAGGACGGACAGGGGCTTCCCGGGTTTGGGGAGGTGGGCGTGGGGGGAGCCGGGGCGTGAGGGGCGCGGCGAAGCTCCTGGGGAAGGGGAGAGGGAGCGGTGGCTTCTCCGGTTTTCAGGCCCCGCTCGGTGAGAGGGAGCCGCCACAGCGCTGCGAGCGGCTGGAAAGACCAGCGAGCCGGGGGGCGCTGTTGGCTCCACCCCCGCCCAGGCACTGAGGTGGGTGGCCGTGGCGCGGGGTTTGAACCGCCGAGGGAACGCGTGGGCGGTAATGTTACTCGCCTCCCCCTCCTGGCCCCCGGCCCAAGCACCTGTTGCAACCCGGGAGCGAAGTGGAGCTTTTCTTTTTAAAGCATTGGCCGGGCCATGCCGCTCTGGTGTCCGCCACTTTCCCGGGTTACCCCACGCTGGGCCTCTGCCAGCCGCCAGCTGCAGCAACGCTGGGCTTGCCTTCCCGGAGTGCGCACCCCCCGCCCTACGGCCGTGCACCGGCCTCTTTCCATAGAGGGCTTGGGTGGATCCCGCCAACAGGGTTGGGGGCAGACTGGGCACAGGGTTTCTAGTTGAGCAATGCTGCTGCTCCTCCCCCAGCCCTGCCTGGTGGGGCTAAGCTCTGTGATGTCTCTAGTCTGCTCTTTTCTCGGGAGTCAGCCGTGGGAGGAGGCTCGGGTCGCTCATTTAGCAGGGTATGTGGTACTAGCACCTCTGTCAGAGTGCCCCTATCTTTTGTGTATTCGTGGTGGATATGGGGGGAGAGGGGTCCTGTTACATGTCCTAGTGCTTTTATAGAGAATGGAACAAGCATAATCTGGTGGTGATAGTAGCTGGCAAGTGTATTTCCATTGGCCTCTTCAATCTATAGATGAAAGTTCAGGTTTTCCACACTGTGAAAACACTACTGCTTGCAAGGAAGACTTTTGAAAGAGTGAATTGTTATATGATAAACCACGGAAGGTCACCTGCCAAGGGAAAATGGATTTTTGTTGTTTCTTGGATTCTTAAAAAAACAAGCACTTTTAGCCCTGCTTCTATTTTTATATTAGCAATTTTGATTTTGTGCACTCTGAAAGTCTCCAATGACTGTAGAGGTGGAGTGATTAGTCAGATCAGCTAAAACTTGGGCAGAAAAATCTTTTTGTTAAAGATTCATCATCCCCTTCTCCTTTCATGAAGATATAAATACTAAAACATCTAGGAGGTCCTTCAGAAAAAAACAGGTAGACATGCGTGATATTCTTGATACTTTCAAGGTATCAGATTTAACTGCCACTCTCTGCACTCCCCACCTCCAAAACACTGGTTACTTTAAGGCTTTTTGGTCAAATTAAGAATACTTCTAATTTTATTTATAAGTTAAATGTAGTTTATTTCAGGTGCTGTCTCCCTTTGTGAACTCATGTGATTTTTATAAATAAGGCTAAGATTTTGTCACTGATATTTTTAGTAAACGTCACAGACAGGTCACGGGCAATAAAGAAAAATTCACGGAAGCCTGTGACTTGTCGGTAATGTTTACTAAAAATATCCATGACAAAATGGGGAGCTTGTCTGCAGGGTCCCCACACTGCTCGCAGCTGCGGGGGCCCGCTCGGGTCCCTGCAGCGGCTGGGAGCTCTGGGGTCCCTCCACCTCTGGCCGCCGTGAGCGGCAAGGGAACTGACTTCCACGACATCCATGAAAAAATTGTAGTCTTATTTATAACTTCATTTTTCCATTTTAAGATGTTTCATTTCTCCCCTTTTGCTGTGTGAAAGACCTATACGCAAATGGGAAACTGCATTTGACAGTACTCTGAGTATAAAGTAAACCCCAAATTTAAAATAGAGAATTTTTAATCTTTAAGTTACCGTAATCATGTTGGTTGTAACAATAGATTTAAATTGTGGTTTTTAAGTTGTCTTCTTGATTAAACAAGGTATTCTTAGATTATTAAAGGGATACTATCTTGTTCTACTTGTCTCAATTTCTAAATTAGTAATTAAAAAAAGCTTCTAAATTAGTTTAAAAAAAAAAACCACCTCTCCCCAAATAAGTCTGATAGCATATTTCTATAAACTTAAATTTCTGTTGCAGTGTTCTTAAACAGTTGTGTTGGTGAGTGGCATCCTGAAAAATGAAATGATTAGAAGCTGACTAAACAAAAGTGAAACTATCTTATGTAATTTCATCAAGCTGAGAAATGCTAAGCAAGTAGCATAAATAGTGATAAGTAAATTGTAATTTTAACTACCAAAGATATTAATGCAGTCTTAAGATAACTTGACTGCATCCCATATTTTTAACTTTTTGTCATTCTAGATGTTTGATGAAGGATGTAATCAAAGGGAACTTTCATATGCTGAATGCTCCCAATAGGGAGGGAAAGGAAAGATATATCTAATGTATAACTTATTTTAATTTTTTTTTCCATTTAGGTTTCATTTCTTTTCCATTTAGTTTGCTTAAAATGGCATTAGTAGCTGTCTGCTGTGCTGTGACACTTCAGCATATGCCATACCTTAAAAATGTACTCTGCTGGTGTTGGCCCTAGTAAGTGGCGGATTTTTACTGTTTTTATTATATGATGCAGTTTTGAAAAACCTCTTTTAATATAACTTGCGGAACAGTGCTATATAATAAAAATGCCACTTGATACATTTATGGGCCTGCTTCAGCAAGTCGCTGAGATTGCTGTCCTATCACAGCATGGTGCTTAATAATGTGTCCCAGTGGGGCATGAGCCAGCTGCTACAAACTTAAGGCACTTCAAATTGATTTTTGTTTTCTTATTAATATGGGCTGATTGCCCTTGTTGCTCTTGTGTTGGGCATTCAGACACATGTAACTAAATTAAAAAACACAGGTCATGTTAAATGTTAAAATGCCTTTTAAAATATGAAGTTGTAGGCTTGAAAGGCTTATTTGTTGCAGGGTCATATTATATACCCCTGCAATAAAACCTAAAAGGAGTGGGAGGACCCAAGAATCTGACAGTGTTGCCAACTTAGCTACTTTGTCACTAGATTTAGTGACACTTTGGTTTCCCTGGTGAGAAAATAAGTGTCATGACTAGTGACAAATGTAACTGCCAATTTCAGTGACATTCAGAGGAAGAAGTCACCAATATGTATAGTCATAAAACATTCCCAACCAGCTCAATAGTGTGAATAAAATCCATTCCATGCTCCGCTTACTACATTCTGTTGCACACCAAGTCAATGTCATTATGTCTCAATTGAACATGTCCTTGGAAGGAATCACATTCCAGGGCTTCTTGGGCTGAGATCACTATAATCTGCAGGCGAGGAAAATAAGTTTGTGGAGGCTAATTAAACACTTTGCTAAAGCCAGGTGCACTTTGGCGAGAGCTGCACATTAGCCAGGGCTTGTTTTTACCCAAATGTGTTCTTTCTTGCTGCTCTGTAGTAGGTAGTACACCCTGTGATACAGGGAAAGATGGCTAATGAAGTGGGCTGGGCAGGGGAGCCAGGTTAGCCAGCAAGGAGAGTTGCACAGTTGGAGATGGGGTGGGATGAGACCGCACTGTGTCCCCCAATGGGGCAGGGGAGTGGTCACCATTCCTCCAGGGATGAAGCCCTTACTACAGGATCAAAGGTGGTGCTAGCTTGATTTTGCTTCCCCTTTACACCTTCCCCTGGTTTGGCCTGGGATTAGCTGTCCAGCTGTTTTTGAGAAATGAAACTCTGGAAGTGGGGGGAAGGGACCTGGCTAACTGACTTATTTTTTTTTTTTTATTTTTATTTATTTATTTATTTTAGATTAAATCTACTTTCTTGGCTCCCTGCAGCGCTAAGCTCAGGTGAATGCCCTCTTACCCCTGGCTCTGGGCATTCCCTTTCACTAACCTGTTGACTCAAATCCAGGCTGGCAAGAAAAGGAGGCTCAGCTGAAATTAACCAATCCCAGCCAACCTGGCTGCCCTGTACAGAGCGCCCTTCCCAATGAGCAGAGGGCTGCAGTTTCCTTCCTAATAAGCAGCGGGTGCTCTCCTGATGATGACAGTGTACTGGTGTAGTTGCTTCTGGTGTGCAACAGAATGTAGTAAGAAGAGAGCGTGGAATGGATTTTATTAACACGATAGAGCTGCTTGTGAATGATTTTGTGACTATATTCGCCTGTGTGTGTGTATGTATATAAAATTCTCTGGAAATTGTATTCAGTGACATTTTTGTCTCTTTGTGAGTTCTTAAACAGCTACATCTAGCGACTTAGCAGGAAGTCACCAGACAAACCCTGAAATGTGAAGTTGGCAACAGTCTCAGAGTGAATGAGGAAGAAGCTGTTAGAGCTGGAAAATTCTGTGGATCCTAGGCCAGTAGCTTCAGTGTTGTTGTGGGGTTTCCACCTAAAACATCTCTTCTGGTTCTCCTTCCTGCTGTGCTTGCACTATATTTTTCCTCTTTTGGCGGGGAGGAAGAGAACGGGACAATGCAGAGGTAATAGCAAGGTTTGACTCCAGTTGATTTTTGTGGTGGTTATTTCTGTAGGTTTAAAAGTGGAATGTCTCAAAATGGCTGCATCCCAACATACATCTTAGTCTGTGCTTACACTGCGTTGTAAGGTGAGCTGTGTAGCCGTTCTTTATCGCCGAGAGAGAGCTTGCCTGGTGACAAAACCACCTCCAAGGAGGGATGGTAGCTTTGTGGCTGGCAGCACAGCTCCTGGCAACAAAGTGCTGTCCATATTGGGGCTTTTCACACCCATGAGCTACAAAAGTTTTAGCAATGAAAGTGCCAGTGTAGACACAGCCTAAGTCATGCTAGTCTTGACTACAATTATTTGGCTCTTGGAGAGGGTTCACCATCTCCCACAGATGTGTAGCACATGCCACATTGATTCTGTTATTCCAACCCTGTTTTTCCACACAAGAGGCTTTTCTACCATAGTTCATACTCAACTTCACAGCAAAGGAGTGATATGGGCATTGGTAGCCTAATCTGTAAAGCTTTTATTTTTGGATGGAGTCATTACCTGATACAAATTAGAACTATTTATAGATATTTTTGGTCATTTCGTATTTGAAACTCTGTCATATTCAGAAACTGAATAACTAATGTCAGGTAACAGTTGCCTGTTAGGCAAATAACCTTGATCATTTAGAAATTTTCTTGTGTAATTGGTTTTCTAATATATAATTTAAATATAGGAGTTAACAGCATGATAACGTTGCACACTTGCAGCTTCAGATATTTGAGTACTATTGGTGAGTTAACCAGGGTGTGGAAATAAAAGGATTTAGCAACATGCCAAATCACTGTTGCTAGGCAAGCAGCAGTGAAATACTTGCAAATTTTGAGTAACTGGAAATGACAAATCATAGAAAAACTGTAGGCCTGTTGCAGTACATTAGAATGACTCATTAATGAACACCGTAATACTGTTTATAGGTCCTCCATGGCATTTTTGGTAATGTGTGTGTCTGCACTAAAAAATTAAAAATTCTGCGCACAATATTTTAAAATTCTGCATATTTTTT